TGTGTGTGTGTGTGAGTGTGTATGTGTGTGTGTGTGTGTGTGTTTGTGTGTGCACATAGCGAAACACCAAACCAATACTACGCCAGGATCTGGACAAAAAAAGATATATCTTATCTTATCTTTGCCCACGATTCTACTCTCTAAGGACTTATAACAATACAGGGCAGCGAACATAGAGAAGCAGTAAATACCATAATAATGAATCACAAACCAGTGTCATAACCACCTCCTTTTATTAAATTAAAAAAAAAAAACAGATGGAGGAAATTATTTTAGAATTTAAAGTGTAAAAAGACCCTTAAAAATCATCATTCATTATAGCTGGGGAAGTTGAGGTTGTAAATTCCTTGAAATTATTAATTTTTTTTATATTAGAGAGTTTTACGGCGCTCGCAACTGCATAAGGTCATATGAGCGCTAAAGGGTGGGTGTCAACAGAGAAGTCCTTACAGGGAATCAGACTTACTCTGCTCACCTATCTAGCTTCAACAGCACAGGGTCTGCTTCGACTATCAAGGCACCTCGGAAATAGCAGGTCACAAGAGGGACAAACATACAAAAGAAGTAGAGGAAAATGACAATAGTAAGGATTAGGAAAGAAAAAAGCAGCAGTTAACTGTTGCAGATCAGGCACAGTTATGAGCGCGATATGAGTCAGCCCATTTACAATTCTACTGTGCTTGAACGAGAAATGTCTCCCCTTTGGGAATGGCCTATTAAAGCTGTGCAAGTTGAGGCTGTAAATTCCTCGAAATGTCTTGGAGTAATCATCGACTAGACGCTTGATTGGCAAGCCATGCTGCTCTTTTATCTAGAAATAATTGAAAGAATGTTCTTTTTAAGGTAGTTGATAACTTTTGATATTGCTCCAAAGATAATGTCCTTTCCTTTTTTAACCATTCCGTCCTGAAAATCGTATTGCTATTAATATGTTGTCCGGATGGTAACAGCAAGGTACAATGCAAGGAAAAATTATGTGACCGAATCATAAAGAAAGCCACGATCTCTGAATATGTTTCTTATAGAACTGACAACCTTCTTGAAACCACGAGCAAAATAAAAACAACAAAACAATACACAATAAAAAAAACAACAAGAAAGCTTCTAAAACGACCCATCGCGCACCCTATTCACGAACATTTTAGATCGTGTCGCGGCAGAAACATTCAACCATGAATCAACAAAGAAAGATACAAAAGAACTTTCCATCCATCCTGCCCTAATGCTGATGTCGAAATGAACATTAATGTGTATTGCTGCTGCTTATTTTAATTTTTACATATAGCATCTTTTCACTTCTTTTTAAGGTGTGATAAATTCCTGCATGTTATTTAAAAGGTACGCCTCTATTGTCAGCTTTTATTTCTTTCAAATTGATATTCTCTTATGTACATAATGTATGAACACAGGTTTTTTTTTACCATTACTGTAAAGCTGCGAAAACATTTTACCGGAAAAATAAAGTATTAGCGTCCTTAATGCAAACAATAATAAATACAACAATTCCAATTCACCACAAGACAAGAAGAGGGATTTACATTATAGTAGTCAAATATCAAACTTTGAAACAAATCATTTTTAATTTCCTGGGGGACAGCATCGACAAATATCGAGCGTGTATTTCTAGACTCATCGAAAACTCAAAGAACTCTTCCCTTTTACAGACTCACCGATTGCTGAAGATGACGTCCTTTATTTTTAAACATTTTAGTAGGAGTTTTACGGCACTTGCAACACAATACGGTCATATAAGTGCCGAAAATTAGAGGCGTTACAAGAGAGTAACAAACAAAAAAAAGAAGGAGGGGAGATAGAGACGATAGATCTTTCATAGGAAAGAAGGAGCAAACCACACCAGAGCACCCGCTAACCACCCACTAAGATAACGTCACTGTCCTGCGGGTTAGACTGGTAAGTCAAAGGACTACCTCAACGATACAACCCGTGGACATGGTGTCCGACCAAGAAGTCGAGGGAACACCACCATCACCCAATCCAACTGACGACTCAGTGGAGTTGTGAAACTGACATGGAAAGAAAAAATGTGAGGCATCATTGTGAAATCAGGCGCTCGTCAAAATAATAAAATCGACGAAACAGGCATTTTCCCGCCCATATGGCAATTTTTTTCTCTAGTTTTTGCTTTTTGGCTCAACACCTTTATTTTCTTACCTAAAGCACATTTCTGTTTGAATTTGACTGAAAACGTTGATTAAAGGCACAGAATATGTAATTTTTTTCAGTTTTGAGGGAATCATAAGCAACTGAAGTTACCGAAATTTGGCAGCCATTTTCTCGATAATTTTATCACTGAAACCAGGGGACCACACTTCCTTCAATCGTAAATATCTCGACTTCCTTTTAAGAAAAATGGGTGGTTTTTTTTATTGAAACTTCGGCAAATGAAGAATCTTTCAGTTGATACCAAATATCGCCATAAGTCCAAAAATTGAGGAGCGCCTGATTCCACCACATCATGACACAAACACCTGCAACATCAACATCGTTACGAGGACAGAACAAAAAGTAGGAGGTGAACAGAAGGATACATGATGCGGCTTGGAGTTTGATTTGGAAAATGCAGACAAACCTATCTAAAAATCAAACTTTGCCGATATCACTAAGAAGACACGTCTTCAATCAGTGCATTGTTCCAGCAATAAGTAAGCTATGGGTGCCAAACCTGGTCAAAAACCAGAAATGTTTTTTTTAGTAATTAAGGATAACATTAACACACTAAGAGAAATGGACAGGAAGATGCTGGGCGCAAGAACAAAAAGTCAAATAAATCACACAAAAATACGAGAGAAAACTGGAGAGACCGATGTCGCCAAATTTGCTCTACAATAAAAATGGAAATGGGCTGGTTACGTCGGCAGGGTGAGGGACAACAGACGGACAAAAAGATGAACACAATGAAAGACCAAGAACAGGAAAAATACCGCATAGAAGATGACAGGACGACATCAAAGAGCAGATGGGTAAGACCTGGACGCAGAAAACAGCTGATAAAACAGAGTGGAGGTCGATGTTGGAGGACCACATCCTGCAGTAGACGGACAACGCCTAGAAATATAGAAAGAAAGACTCGCCAAAAGGCCAAAGAACTTATCACTCCTATAGACTCACCGAAAGCTCAAAGCACTCTTCCCAGGTTCCTGCGAAACCATAGGGCAACCTCAGGTCTGCCATCAGGCGATACCACGACGCCAGTGAATCTTTTGGATTTCTCAGAATGTAGACTATTTTGACGTTACCCTGTCGAATTATTTCGGGAAGATGCCTTGGCCACAGATGTGAACTGATCATTCTAGGAGCTGGAAAGTTGTGTATGCGGGACTCAACGTCATCGCCCATGAACTCCAAAAGTCGAAAAAGAAAATGATGTTTCTCATTTCCAATGTCCTGATTCATGACCCCCCCGGCGACCTCAAACATCCAGTGATTCCCAGACCTGGGGTAACCGTCCAGGATGACGTCATTGTTACCCAATTCTACATGTTTGATCTTGTGGAACATCCGTGGCTGGTCTGGAACGATGCCGAGTGTGAAGTACTTAACTCCCTCAAATACACCATCCTCGCTTTTCTTCTGCACCTCTCGGGCACGTTCAAGAATTTCCTTATTTGAGTATGACATGGTGAGAATTATGTCTCTGTCCTGAAAAGGAAAAAAAACAACATTTGGAAGCGCCAGTCCCAATGACGGTCAGCAGTGATGTTTCCGGTCCAACTTGGTGGTCTATCACTGGATCAGTCCGGCGGTTGTTTCACTTGGCGGTCTGCTACTCAAGTCCTTGACATCTCTCTCTCTCTCTCTCTCTCTCTCTCTCTCTCTCT